AAAAAAAAAAAAAAAAACGAACGAAAAATATCGACCCGCGATTCTCCCAAAACCGCCGTCGGTAACGGCGCGAGCGCCGCTCCGGGCGCCCTCTCGAAAAATGCCCAAATCCCCGCTACGAGCCCCCCCGTTGGCGGCCCTGCTCCGCGCCGAACCCCCGTTGGCGGCCCTGACGCACCCAACCTTCCGTCAAATGTTCCCCTCGCGTCGCGCACCCCCTCTCGCCCAGTTTTCGCTTCCCCCCGCATAGCCCCCCCTCCGATGACCCTTTACACCGTCCCTCGACCCCCGCGCCCACCGCTTACGGCGCTCCCCCCGCGACAGCGAAGCCCCCCCCGACGCCGCGTAACCGCAAGCGAGATCCCTGAGTGTAAAAATGCCCGTTGCCCCCCTACTACATAAGGCAATAGATTGTGCAAATTTCAGCACAATCAAAAAAAACATTTTTTTTGGGGTGGATTACTTCGCATGGAATGCCCCATTAACAAAAAATTGCTTCATAGACAAATGGTACAAAAAGTAAAAGGTAGAACATTTCATTTACCATTACCTTTACAAGAGACGTGGAACAAAATATGTTCCGATACTGATCCAATTAATAAAAATCATGAAATGTACTTCGTACGTGTTAGAGGTGTTTCGACAAAATCTAAAATTATTTGGGAGGAATACGCAGATCGTAAAAAAGTACACAAGGCTTTTAAGGATGTATCACTGGTACAATCTTAGACAAAAGTGCATGAAATTTGAAATACTTGAATATCTACGCCTAACGCATAGTAAATCTAGATGTAAGATATTCAGGATAGTAGGAGTCTTATTTTTACTCCTACAAAGGTATTTTTTTACTTTACAAATGTTTTTTCCAGTATTATTTGCGATTTTTGTAATTTATGAGCCTAAACTTTTGGCAGTAAAAATGCCCTGATTTCAACTTTATAACGTCAAATTATTAATAAAATTAATAATTAGTTATTAATTATTAATTAATAATTAATTATCATTAATTAATAATTAATTTCTTTAAAACGGTGTAGTGAAGACAATTGAAACTTGACAGATAGTTTCATCTATTCGTATACTAGATGTACAAAAAATTCAAAATATTGGTAGCGCTCCTTCAACATTTTTTTAGCTGTTTTATCCGTCAAAATCGTCTCTTCCCATAAAAATACGTGTAAAATCAGTGAAAATTAAAATCGTTATATCTCAGCAACCCCGTTTAGTGGATTCGTTTCTACTTTTTTTGTAGCACATCAGGAAGACTAAAAGAACATTCTTACAAATTTTTATCCACTTGGTAGCGCTTTGAAAATAGGTGCAATACATCCTTAACATGGCTCAAACGTAACAATCGTTTTTCTAATAGTATAACACTTTCAGATACTCACGATGGATTATGTTTAGAAAAAACTGGATAATAATGAATTTGAAGTACAAGAAACAGAAAATGATAGTGAATCTGTTTTGGATGACGAACAAGCATTGAGTCCAAAAGTTCCAATAGAAGAAACAAAAAATAATAATGTAGACGCTACTTTAAATAATCAACGTGAGGCAATGTTAACTCAAATTGACAAAAGTGATAGTTATAGTTATTACGAGCAATACACTATTTATCCTTTATATGAAAAAAAAATCATATAAAAGTGATACCGCCTTATATCAAATGTTAAAAATTCAAGATGTGCCCTTGGACAATCGTGAGAAATCTTTAGATCTATTGTGTTTTCCAAATTTATTTCCTTTTGGCGTTAATGGACAACTCAAAACTAGACAGGTTAAACTTCATGTCCATGAATTTATTAAATGTTGTTTGACATCTAAATATCTACAATTTAGATTAAATCCACAATTCATATTTTTTTTGTTAAATGGTGCAAATATTCGTCAATTAAGTCGTGGTATTTTTCATAAAGTGAATACAACTAAATTACCCGAACGTTATACGGCTTCAGAATATTTACAAGCAATAAAGAAAGATGAATTAGAATCTGACTTGACTTCAATATTCTCCATTCTAAGAAATACGGAACAATATTGGCGTAGACCGAGAAGTGATTTAAATTGTATGACGCAACATTACGAACCAGCGACATGGTTCCTAAGATTGAGTCCTACTGAATGGATGTGGGATGATTTAGGTGAATATATTAGTGAAGTAAATGGATAGTTTAACGATTCGACGCCCGTTAAGGTGTTCCTTTCGCGGACCCAGCTAGTCAAGTAACAGTCCGTCATGAGGTAATTGAAAACAAACATATTGACAAACATTACACAACATCCCAATAATCATAATAATATAACATGATTTTACACGCACGATTTAATCGTATTTAATTATTTACTAATTAAAAAAATATCACAATAGTAGTGCGGTTGGACTCGACTTAGGTTAGGTTGTGACCGGACATTGCGATTTGGGTGCCCGAATCCCGATGTTTCTTCCTTAACACGGTCGCCACTCAATTTAACCTTTACCAACCGAGAAGGAAGTAATCATGACTTCTTAAATTATCGATCTAATTCTTTTCTTTTATTTTCAGGTTTCTGCCGACGCTGGATCACCGTTGCCGCTGCCACCCGGATTCTCACACGGATCGACGATGGACTTCGAAGGATCACCGACGATGGGCCAGGTAAGTAACAAGAAGTAAATGATGATAATTCTCGAATTATTTTCTAACATGATTCAATAATTTATTCAATTGAATGCTTTCCCACAGGGAGTTGTTCACAAAATGGCTGACACGCGTGTCGCTGGGTACAAGTACCGTACGCTTCGCTTCCACTATCTTCAATCGGTGACTAAGCACCACTCGCTTTCGTATCGCGAGCACGTAACGCGTTTCCGCGGGCGTCGTGCCGGTGGTTTTGAACCGCGGGGCAAACCATCAACGCGTCCGGGCTCGATTCGCGGAATTATATGCGCGCGGCCTTTCCTCCGCTAAGGAACATGTTCCCGGACGACTTCCTCGGAGAAGACGTCCAGGTGATCTGCACGATGCTCGCCGTTGACGCCGACCCCCTCTGACTTACCTTCTGGTCTGCGGGAACTCGTTGCCGCTGTTTGTTCCTGAGGATGACGTCCCGGCTTTCCGATTGTTGACCAAGGTCGTCTCCCCACTGTTGGACGTTGGTCTCAGTCTATCTTTTTTCGAACCGCAACGCATGGTCCGCGGTTTCGCTAACTCTTTGTCAGATCGCTTGACAAATCTTCCCTGACTAACTTACTGTTCGCGTTCGTCTATCCTGCACGATCGCTTTCGCGTCTCGGCGCTTGGTAAGCTATTTTGCGAACGCGGTCTTGGATCGCTCGACCGACCTTCCCTGACTGACTTTTGTCGCTCGCTCGTTAGTCACGCACGATCGCTTTCGCGTCTCGGCGCTTGGTAAGCTATTTCGCGAACGCGGTCTCGGATCGCTCGACCGACCTTCCCTGACTGACTTTTGTCGCTCGCTCGTTAGTCACGCACGATCGCTTTTGCGTCTCGGCGCTTGGTAAGCTATTTCGCGAACGCGGTCTCGGATCGCTCGACCGACCTTCCCTGACGGACTTCTGTCATTCGCTCGTCAGTCATGCACGGTCGCTTTCGCGCTTGAACCGTTGGTAAAGTTTTTCGCGAACGCGGTCTCGGATCGCTCAGTCGATCTTCCCTGA